TTTATTTCATACCCATGCTTAGCCCTTTAAATATGCTAGATGTTGAGAAGGAAACTAAGAAGTGGTAAACTTAGCACTGGGGAAAAATTGCCCTTTAAACACACTTTCAAATCACCCTTTCCTGTTTTCTGGGCCTGCACAAAATGAGTATATTAGGATACCTGACTCTTACCAGCCCACCAGATCAATTACATTTAGGTCAGAATGACCTCAGCACTCATAAACATTTTGTCACGGTCATATTTTTCTTAAAACTTAACCTTTTCACCTGTTACCTTATTTACAGCATTCATCTCATGCTTAACTTCTCCTTTGGGGCAATTTCTGAGAAAGGTCAATGTTGTCTTCAGTGCTGTCTATATCATATAACATGACAAAACTATTTCTGTAAAACGTTCCACCTCACAATCTAAGACTGGCCTGTCAGCCTTTGTCACCAGGGTGAGGTCCATAAAGAATTTAGCACCGCTTTAGTATTACCTCTGTTCATCTCATGTCTATGGATAAAAAAGCAGTGGCTGCTTTCTATTAGTCAGTCTCAGAGAAAGGACACAAATTAATCAAACGAAGCAGTGGACTGCTCTTTCCACTTCCCTTAAGCTATTTGCATGCCAGTTATTTAACTTGGTTTTGATAGCTGATAGATACTGAGTATCTGCAAGAGCCCTGTAAAAACAGTTAAATCTCACAAACTTCCTTCACAGTCATGTCTTGTGCCAAAAATGAAAATAAACTATACTAAAAATTTTTTAGAAATTGTGTTCATAATAAAGGAAGAAAGCGAAAATTGTTGCATTTGTCACAGTGGGACAGCTGCAGAATATTGGAATGATAAAATCTTATCAGTTTTGTTCAAAATGAAAAATCCTACTTGTAATAATAGCTAGGGCTGTGGGGTTTTTCTGTCAATTTAAGAACTTTCTGCTAGCTCTGGAAGACAAATTTGTCACTTTGCTCAGCAGACACATAAAGAAGGGTAGTGCACATATCCTGTGCTTCAAATCCACATCAAAGTGAAGTTTCCTAGACTGCTGTTGACATTGACTATCATAGATAGAGGTCTTTTGCTAATTGCTTACCAAATTTTGTCTGAAGAACTTTCAAAAGTTTGATATCAACAATTTTTTTGCCCTGGGCATCCAGCCCCTGCCTGAGCCGTGCTCACTGTAGCTGTGCCTGCCTGCAGCCCTGCCTCCTGGATGGACTCTGGATCTGATCCAGCCTCTTGCCTGGCCTGGAGCAGTTGTGGTTATCAGCACCCTGCTCCGCCTTTAACAACTGTCCAGCACCCCTTTCTGTCTCAGCTGTAGAGAGGCACTGCATAATCGAGAAAAAGCAAGGTTTCAGTTTCGCAAATTTTGAGATATCTTGAAAAAAGCCAAATCCTTGCCATTTCCAGGGCTCCTAGAATTGAAAATGTTCAGAACCACTTAGGGAGCTAAAAAGCACAGTTGAAGGCTGTGTGGGAGTATTTGCGTATGCACTGGTGGGGGAGAGGGAGGAAAAGAATTACGATAAATACAGCACTTTTCGGTGTTCAGTTGAGTTTGGTGTAAAGTCTACACTGAAGGAACTTAACAATTCCCTGTGGTTTTCTCTGCAAAATAAGGTCTTCAAAAAAAGAGGGGAGGACAGAGTTGTTTATAGTATTGTCATTAATAACACCTTTTATACCCTTTCAAAGACTTTAGTTTCTTAATCATTCTATAACCTATCCTATTGAGACTGGTTGAAAAACAAGTAGAATTTCTTTACTGGATAAAAAATGAAGACCGTGTCCTAAAAGGTCCCTCAGCATGAGTTTGTGTGAAAAGGCTCTACAGGCACATGTGTGGATGGAGAAATAGGCACCAGGAACAAGGAGGATGAAGAATGCCCCTGGGACAAAGGCAGATGAGCATAGGGCTCCTAGGCAAGACTTTTCCTGGGGAAAAGGCACCAGGGAGTGTTTGAGAGGGAGGAAAACTTCACCTACCACAGGGAGCCAGCTGCACAAGAAATAGTTTCTTGTTGAAAGGAGTGCTTTAGGAATGGTACTCCCCAATTTAGTGTTCCCACTGGAACTCCAAACCACACGCAGCTTGCTCACTCGCTCCCCCTTTTTCCCCTGCCCCTCCCTACTGCAGCAGATTGGAGAGGAGAATTGGAGGCAAAAAAGGCAAGGATCATGGCCTGAGAGAAGAACAATCTACTAGAAGGAGCAATAAGATAAGAAAAGGAACAGGAACAGCAACAATACTAATGCCAGATGGTGGAAGAAAAGAAAGGATCCACAGGGAAAAAAGCCCTCCATCCACCACGTTTTATTGACTGGAAGGAACCACTTCTGGATGGAAGTAAACCCTTTTCCCCTGCCTCCAGCAAGGATGGGAGGTGGTAGAGAATAACCTCCATGTCCTAGTCCCCTCACAGCTTCTGCAGACAATTAATCTTGTCCTGGCCAGAACCAGGACGTCCAGTTTTTCTTGGTTCCATTGGTTTAAGTAAGGACGGGAGTGGAGGGAGAGACATGTGTCACGACCCATGGGTAGGGCCGTGAGGTTCGTTTCAAATTCTCATCAGGCTGAGCAAAGACACCAGGCCATGGAGAAGAGAGAGAGAGAAAACAGAGAATGTCACCAGCACGTAGATCCTGCGTTAGTCCTTCCGTGGGGGTGGTCCAGAGCTGGGGCAAACCATGAGAGGGAAAGAGCAAGAGAGTAAAAACAGAGGGCAAGGGGTCCCCATCTGCTGCCTTTTCGAGTTAACCTGGTGCAGCCTCTCCCATCAGCTAGATTTCTCATGCCCTTTAGTTCTCGCATGCACAGCCAGCCCTTGGAGCCCTCCTGCAGCAGGAGATGCTGGGGAAGAGACATCTGTAAAGCAGCTGTGCAGACACCTGGGAGATGCCAGGCTGGCCAATTTGGAGCCCACAATGTGCCCCTGGGGCAAAGGTAGTGGGTGCAGGCAAGGCTGCAGTTGGCCAAGCCTTGGCAGCAGGTGGAGGGAGATAATCCTTGCCCTCGTGGGTGCCCAGCTCTGGGCTCCCCAGCTCAAAGCAGACGTTGACCACCCTGTACACAAGTCCTGCCCCCACTCCATGCCCCAGGGCCCACTCCAACATCTGTTGGGCTCAGGCTGTTGGTCAGTTGGAGCCAATGTCCAGCAGAAGCAGCAGCAGGGAGCTGTCCTGGCTCACATCAATGCTGGGACAAGGCAGGTTCTGGCCAAGAGGCACCAGAGCCAGCCCTGACAACCCATATCCCATCCATGCCCTTGGTTGGGCTTCATCCTGCCCCTGAGTCCTTCCCCACAGGGCCAGGCTGTGCAGGCACACGTGTCTGCCCACAGGCTGGGGGGCAGCGAGGCCTGAGAGTGGCTCTCCTCTCTTTCTGCAGCTCCCTGGGGCTGAAGGAACTGTGGATGGACACACTAGAGGAGTAATCTGGGGGAATGCTCCAGGAGCAGCCAGACAGGGAAGCAGCTCCTTGGCTGGGGAGAGGTGCCCTGTGGCTGCAGGCAGGTTTCGGGCAGAGGATCTGGCTGCCTTTCCCCCCACCTCTGGCTGTGCTAGGGTACCAGGGATGTGCAGCTAGTGGAGGGAACTTGTGCAGGAGGGAGGGAGGGAGGGTGTGTGGAGGATTGGGGAACTCCCAGGAATGTTGCCATGTCCTTGCTGGCGGCACTGGGAAGCAGGATGTTGTGCAGGGTAGAGAGCCTGGCAGGGCAGAGGGTCCCAGCTGTGCCACACTCAGGTTGCTGGGGATGGGGGAAAGCTGTCGGTGGCCCTTTGTGCTGCAGGGCTGCTCTGCAGGCATGGCCTGCTTCTTGCAGGCTGATCCCAAGCAAGGGCCTGCTATGGCCTTGTCTGGCAATGGAGGAAGACCTGGTGGCTCACCAGGTGAGTTTTGGAAGGAAAGGCAACCCTGTGCTCGGGCCAAGCTGTGCTCACTTGTCCCTTGAATGTCACCATGCAGGTGTGGCACCTGGAGGGAGGACGTCACCTGGATGAGCAAGGACATCCGCTGGGCAGCAGCCACTGGACACAGCTCTGCAGGGACAGAGAGCCTGTGCTGCTGCCCACAGCTTGGAGAAGGGCAGGGCAAGGTTTGGGACAGGCTGTCCCGGTGACACGCCAGCTCTCAGGAGGCTGCGAGCTGGAGCCACAGTTGCTGCTGCCGTCTCCTTGCCTGTCCTGCTGCATCCCTCAGCACGGAGCTGAAAGCAGGGCAGGGCAGGCTGTGGGAGCGCTGGCCTGGTGCTCTTCACTGATGGGCTTTTGCTCTCTTTTTGTTTGCAGCAGGAGGGACCAGCAGAAGCAGCAGCAGGAGGAGGAGGTGGCTGCCCTGGTGCCTTGCTCAGCAGAGGAGCCCCTCTGCTGCTGCCCAGGCACCAGGGCAGGTGGGCTCTCAACTGCTGTTGGAAGGCAGCTCCTCAGACAAGCCCATGCCCTCCTGCCTCTTCTGCAGGAGCTGCTGGTGGTCCTGCACCAGCAAGGACCGACCACTGAGGGCATATTCAGGAGATGTTCCAGGGTGAGAGCCCTTCAGGAGCTGCAGGAGGCCCTGGACCACGGTGCAGAGGTCACCATGGGAATCCAGCCTGCACTGGCGCTGGCCGTCCTCCTGGAGGTGAGTGCTTCTGACCTGCAGCTGCAAGAGCTCCTGGCTAGGCTGGAATCTTCAAAGGCTCACCGGGAGCCCTTGGCATTGAAGGATTTCCTCCAAAGCATCCCCTCCAAGCTCCTCATCACAGAGCTCTACAAGGACTGGAGGGCAGTGATGCAGATGGCCAGCAGGGAGGAAAAGATCTGTCGGCTGAAAGGGTAAGAGTGGGCAGCAGCCTGCCTTCTGAGCAGAGACTGGGAAAAGGTTGGGACTTGCCTGAAAGGGGACAGTCTCCTTAAAACACAGTTTTTTCTGGCAACTTGCTGTTGCTGGGTTGGGGTCAGGTTGCGGGGGAATGGACAGGGAGCCTTCCCTGGCATGGTCTTGGGTGAAAACAGAAGCTGGGAGGCAAACATGTGCTTCCTTCCTCAAGTGCAGAGCCTCAAGCGCTGGCTGAGAGCACCTGCAAAGCTGTACAACAGAGCCACTGGCTGCCCCTGCCCCGTGCCAGCCTTGGGGGTGGCTCTGGGCAGCACGTGCTTGAGGAGCGTTGCCTTGCTGTTCCCTCAGGGTGGCCAGGAAGTTGCCAGCAGCAAATCTCCTCCTCCTCAAGCAGCTGCTGTCCCTGCTCCAGCATATCGGGCAGCACGTCTCCACCAGCAGAATGACCTCCAGCAGCCTGGCTGTCTGCCTGGGGCCAAACTTGCTGAGCCCACCCCAGGAGGAGCTGCTCCTGCCGGAGGCTGCGCTGGCTCTGAGCACACCAGTGATGTTGTCTGGAGCGGCCGCTGCAGCTCCCCAGCCCGTGCCAGCTGGGCTGCCCAGAGGGCCCTGTCAGCCCCCTGTCTCCAACAAATGCTGGCAGGGCAGATGCCTGGAATAGATGCCCCACAGCCACTGCCTTCTGTGCAGGGGCTCAGGAGGAATGGGAAAGGCTGCTTGACGTGTGTTCAGGCCCCTGGGCTGAGAGCACGGCTGGGACGTGTGCAGGTGAAGGTGCTGGTGGAGTTCATGATGGACAACTTTGATGCCACCTTTGGGGAGGAGACGGCTGGCCTGGGGGAGTCACCAGCACCCACCGACAGATGCCCAGGTATGAGCAGGAACCTCCAGGGGGTTGTCACAGCCTGGCACTTGGGATCCCAGAAATCTCACCATCGAGAGGACAACTGGTATAGGGCTTGGCTGGGTTTTCCTTTATGTCTTTTGCTTTCTAGACCTGTGTTTGGAGGAGCAAAGTGGCCCCACAGGCGGAGCAGACGAGGATCATCAGGCAAAGACCTTCCTGGATGCCTCCTCTGCCCTGCCAGGCGTGTCCACAGAAGATGGGGCAGACCCAGTGGTGGAGGCCGAGGGGGCAGAGGTAGGTCAGCTGTACAAACACTGGGACAACGTGTCCCACAGAGGCAGAAAGTTTCTGATGAAGCCCAGTAGCTGCTGTGCCTCCTCCTGACAGCCCATCCCTTGAGCCCTTGGGCTTCCTTTCTCCCCCCATAATGACACCTCCAAATGAAAAGTGGACAGGTGGTTTCTCCAATGCCTTAGGCACATGCTTGATCAAAGTACAAAAGACCTACAAATTCAAGCTAGAGGGGAGTAGCTGTCAACTTGAGAGGGCTTTTGCTCACATCCTACTTCATTCCAGCTTCCTCCAGTCTATTTTGGGGCAGGTGTACTGTGTGAGACGGGGATGATGCAAAACAGCATCTTCTCTGTGGAGCTCAGGTGGCTGTTTGGCAATCAGTCACTTCCTACTCTGGGCTGTCTCTTGCCACCACTTACCTCCCAAATTTCTGGTTTAGGCACCTCCAGCTTTGCCTCCAAACATCCCCCAGAGTGCAACAGAATCCCTGGCACCCACAGAACCACTGACGAGCCTTTCAGCATCCAGAAAGTAAAGTGAGCTCGCGTTGGCTTAAACAAGAACTGACTCCTGGAGATTGTGGCTTTGCCTATCTAATCCAATTTTGGGGGTAAAGGTTTGCAGGCTGCTCCGAGGAAAAGAAAAAGAGAAGGAAAAGATGAAGAGAGGAGGCCTGGCCCAGAGAGATGGAAGGCCAAGAGGAAAGGAAGAAGGGGAAGACAGGAAGAAGACAACAAGAGAAGCGTAAGAAGGTCCAGCAGCTCAAGAAGCCCAGGTGTGTCCCAGGCTCTGCTGTCCATCTTTCCCAACTCTCGACACTGCCCTAAGTCAACCCAACTCCCTGGCAAGGGCTGGCAAGGGCTGGTGCTGAGCAGGGCTTGGCAAAAGCTCCATGGCAGCTCCCCAGGGGATCTCCACCCAGCCCTGCTGTGTGGCACAGGGGCACTGGGCACCTCTGCAAGCACCCAGGGCTCGAAGGGCATCCATCCTCCATGGGGTAAAGGCCCCAGAACCAGCCCATCACCATTGTCAGCAAGAGCTCTCTCTACTGGGCCACAAACAGCTCCTTGTCAGCTGCCTTCCCCAAGGAGAGGGGAACCAAGCCATGCCAATTCCTGCCTTTGTGGGTTCATTTTCTGACCTTCTGACTCTGTTACTGCAGGTGCCGCTTTCGTGTTGCCAGGTGAAGCCCTGAGACTCGTGGGCCTGCCTCCCCCCCTACCCCTGAAGTTGTGCTTGTAGTACAGTTACCTTTTGTTTGTTCTCACTATGTCTGACATATGATGTTATGGACTGGGGAGATGTTGCTTGGGAATGAATCCTATGGGAGGAGTTTGGGATCATCCCTTGTCCCAGAAGCCTTGCCTCCTGCAGGTCAAGCAGAGGAAGAGCCAAGTCCTGCAGCCAGGCAGGAGAAACGCCTTGTAACATGGGGATGCTGGAGAAGAGGCAGCTGGAAAGCTGTGCAGACACCTGGGTTCCCAGTGGATGCCAGGCTGGCCAATTTGGAGCTGGGGAACGGGTGTGCCAAGCGCCAGCATGCAGAAGTCTGTCAGGAGCTGATAAACTCCAGAGACTAGCAGTCTTGCTGAATCCACACAAAAAGTGGATAAAGTAATAAACTCTGAACACAGAGACTCTGCCAGGTCTGTCCAAATCCACTAGCATCTGCCATGGTTTGTTCAACCCAGGCTACATCCATGAAGGATCCTATATGGAAAAATCCTAGATTATTTATCTGTCTGTCTGTCTGTCTATCTGTCTATCTATCTATCTATCCATCTATCTGAATACATAAAGTACACACACACACACACACACACACACACACACACACACACATATATATATGGTGAAACAAATGATCTGGAAGGACTTCCTGAACACCCTCCTGAAAGCTCCTGATATATCAGTGGACACCTCTGCTTTTAAGTAACCAGCAGGGGTTGGTCTCCAGCTCCTGCTCCCCACCGTGTACCTGTTAGTGCAGATGTTTGTGAACTGTGTGAGGGAATGAGTGCACACAGAACGTGATGAACACCTTGCTATTAGTAACAGCATAATAAAGGCCATCTAGTACAGACTGGTACGATCTGTGTTTCCCCAGACTGACCCCATCAGAAAATCAGGGAACGTACAACAGGATTGCAAAGGTTAACTCCTACATTTTTGTGGGTATCAAAGTGCAGAGCTACCCCACCTTGGGGGGGATGTCTGATATTTGATCCAGACTTTTTAAATTACAGACTTTGGTATGTCTCTAATGTGGCATTTCATAAGTGGCTGTCACCATAAGTGGAGGAATGTCCAGACTCAGACCCAGGGACACCACAGACCTGAAGATCTGGTATCATCGGATGGGACAAATTAAAAAGTTGCAAAAAAAGTATTAATCTTCTCAAAGGTGCATACTCTGTGTCCCTTGCCCAAGCTACAACAGTCATCTCCAGCCCAAAGCCACGAGAACCTATCAGGAATCTGTTCAAAACAGGTTTCATCTTTAAAGACTGGGCCTGTTCACAGCATTCTCCCAAGTTTTTTCCCTCTCTGCCTCAGCCCATCTCCCTGCTTCTACCTGCCAGATGGATGATCGGAGTGTAATTTTCCCAACAGTTATAAATTTACATAATGGTGCCTATTTGCTGCAAACAGTTGAAAAAAATGTGTCATCCAAATATTTTTGCAAGTACTGGTCCTGGTGAGCGTTTTTGATGGGAACAGCCATACCTGCTGAGGGGATTACCCTGCAGCATGTTCCACTTCCAAGCACTTCACCGTCCATGTGCTTTGGAATCCCTGGATTATTCTCAGGAAACTAAGTGCCATTGCTTTGCTTCTTGAGTTTGAGGCTTGTGTGGCTGAGGACACACCAGATTGTTTCTGAAAGCAATAGATGACAAATCAAACAGATATTTTGCTTTTATATGAAACGAAAATAATTCTTTCAGGAGGAACATGCTTCTAAAATCCCTCAGTATCATCTGGGTTTGTGTGACCTCTTGTGGTTAAAGCCCTGCTTTGCAGTTCCACATTTTTACTGGCGGTGAGAGCACACCTGCGGCTTTTTCTGCTACAGTTGAGCAGAAGGGTAGGAGAGACTTCGGCTTGCAATGTTAAACCACAGTCTTAGTGAGAGAAAAAGCTGTGCTAACAGGCATGTCGTGACAGTAAATATTTTTTCTCTGTATTTATGTTGTTATTTTTGCTCTATACTACTGTAGCAATTAAGACCCATGAATGGTGGGTTTTTTCCCCTTCAGACATAGGTGCAACTTTGTTATTTAAATTTGTCAATTCACTATAAAATCACAGAAAATTCTGAGTTGGAAGTGACCCACAAGGATTATCCAGTCCCACTCTTAGCCCTACACAGGACCCTCCCCAAGAGTCACACCATGTGCCTAAGTATCATCCAAATGCTCCTTGAGCTCTGTCAGCCTTGGTGCTGTGACCACTTCCCTGGGAGCCTCTGGGGGAAGAACCTTTTCCTAACACCCAACCTAAATCTCCTCTGACACAGCTTCAGGATATTCCCTCAGGTCCTGTCACTGATCACCACAGAGATCAGTGCCTGCCCCTCCTCTTCCCCTCACAAGGAAGTTGGAACTGCAAAGAGGTGTCCCCTCAGTCTCCTGTTCTCCAGGCTGAACAGACCAAGTGACCTCAGCGGCTCCTCATACGGCTTCCCCTCAAGGCCCTTCACCACCCTCATTGCCCTCTTTTGGGGCAATGAGTTCTCTAAGACTTTAATAGCTTTTTTGTATTGTGGTGCCCTGCACACAATGCACACAATGTTCAAGATGAGAGCAGAGCAGAGCAGAGCAAGACAGTCCCCTCCCTTGACCAGCTGGCGATGCTTTGCCTGATGCCCCCCAGGACACAGTTGGCCCTCCTGGCTGCCAGGGCACTGCTGACTCATATTCAATTTGCCATTGACCAGGATCCTCCTGTCCCTTTCCCAGCACTGCTCTCCAGGATCTCACTCTCCAGTCTGTATGTACATCCAGGGTTATCCCATCCCAGGTGCAGAATCCGGCACTTTCTTCTGTTGAACTTCATATGGTTGGTGATTGCTCAGTCCTTCAATTTGTCGAGGTCTCTCTGCAGGGCCTCCCTGCCTTCCCAGGGAGTCAACAGCTCCTCCCAGTTTTGTGTCATCTGCAAACTTGCTTAGTATTATTCCCAGTCCTGCGTCCAAGTCAGTCATGAAGATGTTGGAGAGAACAGGCCTAAGACCTGTGGAACCCCACTAGTGACAGGTCATCAGTCTGATGTTGTCCCATTCACTATTACCCTCTGTGCTCGACCACGAGCCAATTGCTCACGCACTGCATGATGTGTTTATCCAGCTGTGTGCTGGACATTTTGTCCAGAAGAATTCTGGGAGAGACAGTATCAAAAGCTTTACTGAAATCCAAGAAGATTACATGAACGGCTTCCCTTTCCTTTCCTCAGAAAAGGAAATCAGGTTTGATAAGCAAGACTTTCCTCTCACAAAGCTGTGCTGGCTTGACCAGTGACTGCATTGTCTTTCAGCTGTTTCTCAATACTTCTCGGAATAATCTTCTCCATAACCTTACCAGGCACTGAAGTGGACTGACAGGCCTGTAGTTGACAGGATGCTCCTTCTTGCCCTTCTTGAAAATCGGGACAATATTCACCAGCTTCCAGGCAGCTGGGACCTCTCTGGATTCTCAAGACCACTCAAAAATCATTAAGAGAGGTTTTGCAATGACATCAGCCAGCTCTTTGTGGATTCTGGGATGAATCTCATCAGGCCCTATAGATTTGTAAGGATCCAGCTGGAGCAGCAGATGCCTCACAATTTCAGGATTGACTGGGAGTTGATCATTCTCGCAGTCATGGTCCTCCAGCTCAGGGCACTGAGACCCCCTTGGTCTGTCATCCATGTGGAAGACAGAGGCAAAGAAAGTGTCAAACACCTCTGTCTTGTCTCTGTCCCTGTTTGTGAGGTGACCATCCTCACCCTGTAATGATATTTGTATACTGCCTATTGTCATGAATATATTTGAAAAAAACCTCTTTTTATTGTCCTCCACATTTCTGGACAGTTTCAACTTCACTTGAGCTTTGGCTGCACGAATTTTCTCCCTACCGCAATTTTGTCCTGACACCTGGGCATCACTCAGAGCTTGTTTATTAGCTGCTATTTCATGGATTAAGTCCCTTGCTGATTAGGTCTGAAAGCATAAAAATATCAAACACCGAAGAACATCCTTTTTTAAGAAAACATTTACATATCCCACACTTCGCAACACAGCTAACAGGGGTAGATCTGCTGGGCTCGGGGAACGACCCCCCGGGTCGCCCCTCACGGTTCCCGCCAACGCGGCGGGCGGGGCGGGGCGGGGGCGGGGCCCGGCCCGGGGGCGGGGCGGGTTTGGCGCGCGTTTGGCGCGCTGGGGGCGCGCGCTTCCCGCCGCGGCCATGTCTCGGCAGAGCACCCTGCTCCGCTTCTTCTCCAAGGCCAACCCGGCCCCGCCGGGGGACGCCGCGCCGGCAGCCGCCCCTGCGCCGGCAGCCGCCCCTCCGCCGGCCGGCGCGGGGCTCCGGCGGCGCCGGGGCTCGGGGGAGCAGAACGGCCGCCAGGCCGCCCGAGGCACCCGCGGCGGGGCGGGCGGAGCGGCGGCGCGGGCCGGGGAGAACGGCGAGAAGGGCGAGGGGGACGGCGCGGCCGTGAAGGCCTCCAGGTACCGGCGGGGGAAGCGGGGAGGCCGCAGGAGCGCGGCCGGAGGCGGGAAGGGAAGGCGGGACGGGGCTGCTGCCGGCAGCGGTGGGAGCCCCTCGGGCCGCCCCTGTCGTCGCTCCCGTCGTTGTCCCGCCCCCTGTGCCGTGGATGTGGTGCTGTCCCAACCCATGTGCTGTGGATGTGGTGCTGTCCCGCCCCCATTCCCTGGATGCGGTGTCCGGCTGTGCAGGCCTGCAGCGGCCCGCGCTCCCGGCGGGCCTGGGCCGGCGGGACAATGGGACACCTGCGGGGAGCGGAGCCGCGGGGTTGGTTTTTGCTCTTTGGGAATAGTGTGTCACTCGTGCATGTATTTCCTTTCCGTGGTGTATCATAGAATGGATCAGGTTGGAAGGGACCAGGGTGTCATCCGGTCCAGCCTCCCTGCTCAGGCAGGGTCGTCCCAGAGGACATGGCACAGGATTGTGTCCAGGCTGTTCT